CCCAGGAAGAATGGAGTGTTTTGCACGTTTTGCTTTGTAACAATTAAGAAAAAAAGAAATATATATATATATATATATATATATATATATATATAATGTGTGTGTTGTTGTACCTTTCACATACTATTTCACCACACTATTTCACCACTTACAAGCTCTTACAAGCATGAACCATAGCAAAAAACACTCCTATTGGCTGTGGATTATTTATTCTCATAGCAGAATAATTAATTATTTCCATGCTATTATTATTATTATTATTGCTGTTATAAACATTTACAGCTTGTGCCTTTAGAACATGGTGAGAAAGATTGTACAATTGAATTATTACTAGTAATAGTACAGTAAACTCATACGTAATTTCAATTACACGATTCTGAGAGGTATGGAGAGGACTGAATTGGTGTAAGCAGTGTTCCTTATAGAGGCATGTTCCCCAGCAGGTCTGTGGGTGCGAGAATCTCTCTATAGCACTGAGAGCTGTACTGACACTCCCAGGATCAGCAGAGATTTGGACTGCGATGCTGGAAGGGTGAGCAAAAAGAGGGCGATCTGCACCGCGGCATGGCACTGATGCTCCCGTAGATATTGTCACAGGATGTATCCTCGGTAGAATTCCATTCAATATCTCTGTCTTAAGGTACAAAGCTTGGGGCTGTAGTGGCTTTGGGAAACATAAGTGGTCTTTTTTTTTCTTCCAGAAGGGCGGTATCTGCACGTGAAATTCTCTAAAGGGGTTTAAGTATTTACCCAGAGCACTATCAGCTGCTTCCTAAAATTCTGCTTATCCTGTTGAAGAAGCACTTCAAAGAGAATTGGTGATACCTTAGCCAGCAGATTCTGTAACCCCCCCTCACCAACCCCTCCCTACAGTTCATTCTCCTAGTCAGGACAGGCTCTTTAATGTGGGAAGAGTCACCTACACTGTAGAGCTACTCTCCAAATGAGTGACAGCAATAATCCTGGAGTAATCTCATGTACAGGAGGATGGCATCCATCTCATCTAATAAGCGTCTGGCTGCAACAGTTACCTGCAGGATCACACTGGACCACCGGGGGAGCTAGATGGGATCCTGTTTCCAAGCTGAAGCGGAGCCACAAAAAGAAATAGTTACCTCACCTCCTCTATCTCCCCGTGCACAGAACGCTTTTAGGAACAGCAGTGATGAGACTAAGAGGAGTGATCTTCCGCTAGCGTCACACTTACGGTCAGGCCGTCTGGTTCACACTTGTGCAAGCGGACCGTATGCAGGAGGGAGACTGAAAAGCCCGGAACGTGGCGCCAAGGGCCGTGGTGAGCCTCTGCTTAACAAGCCAGAAAAGCCAGGGAAAAAAAATGTAATCCCTAAAACTACCCGTGATGAGATGCAGAGCACCGCTTCACATTAATGTTTTACAAACACATTAAACAGAGAAATAGAGATAAATTGTCCCAAGTGACCTTCATATAATTATATATATACAGAGCAATATGAAACTGCAATGAAACTGATACACTTTAATAATTAGATTCTTGGCTCTGGCCCACTGAAGTCAATAAAGGTTATTAAGGCCAATTGCTGTCTAAATACATTACAGACAGAGTAAACTGTCTGTCGGAGGTCGAGTATTTCATTGCCAATATGATAATTCATTCCCTGTCCTGGGGATTTCTAAGTCCCGCTAGTGACTGCACTCTGCCATACAAAACCAGATTGGATTTGCTTAACCTTTTGGGCTTCGATCAAACAAGCTTGCATGGCAATAACATTTACATTGACCCCCCCCCCCCACACACACAGACACACACACACATTACGCCATCAGCCCCCCTCTCCCACCTCAGTCAATAACCTAATCAGTTATCGATGGCCATCTCCCCAGTCAGTCTGCAGCTGCTCCACACAACGTGAGAGCCTTTCAAAATTGTTCTAGAAGGCTCCCATTAATACCGAAGATAAGCCGGCCTCTGGGTGAAACCTCTCAATCATATTTTGTTCCAGTCGGCTACAGTTGCGACCAAATGGGGGGCTGGATAAGAATGACAGGCCGATAACACACAGCACTGTAAATAATGAGCCGTGAACCCATTTGGATCCACTGGTACCAAAGAGATGACGCATATCCAGGCGGGGGGAGGGAAGGTCTATTTACCAAGAATGTATATTAATCCTGCTGGGGAGATGTTCATCTTTTATGAGGCGTCTTTCCCTGTCAAATGGGGAAGGGGGCGATAGAGATCTCTCAGTGTTCCATTGGTCTTGAGCTCACAGCAAAAGGATGCGAGGAGCCTGTACAGGTTTTTGAAAAGCGGCGTCAGAGCAAAGCGAGCACGACTGGGAGGTTGAAGCGGGCAACCTGGGAGGCTGAAGCGGGCAACCTGGGAGGCTGAAGCGGGCAACCTGGGAGGCTGAAGCGGGCTACGGCGGCTGTTATAATCTCATCAGGGCTGGAGGAGCTCACGTCCCAAGAAAAAGCAAGATATAGACATAAAACAAGCGGAAGCGCATGCTGGAGCCCCTCCAGCCCCCACTGGGGGCCCTCTGCATGCCCCCCCCCGTCCTCTCCTCTCTGTCGATGTGGCTGGCACTATTCATGGCCGGACGTTTTAAATAAATGTCAGTTTTGTAGGGTCTGTGTGATAGCAGACCCGGGGAGACACAGGCTCTATCCGCAGCATCTGCGAGCAGCCCCCTGCCCCTCAATCCCCCCCCCCCAGTATCCCACCCCCAACCTCACAGGAGTGGGACGCTTTTGTGCGACGCTCTCCTCCACCCCGAAAGCATGGCGCGCTCCTCATCTCCTTTTAAATGGAAAGTAAGGGCCCAAGATCCACACCACCCTTATCTTGATGTTGCGGCAGCCGATAAGGCCTCAAATTTCCTCACGTCCATTAGACGAAAACACAATCATTTGAATAACCTTTATTTCCTCTGCCTCTCACTCACTATCTCCTCACTTTATGTGTCCATTTTGCAGCTCATCAATTCAAAAGGTAATAGTTTGGGCTGGGGGGGGGGGGAAATAACTGAATGTTTTTTATCAGAATGTCATTCAAATGAAAGGTGCGGCATTTCCATCACAAGAGAGGGGCTGCAGAAAGTACTCCCCAGGGCCGAAAATGGCACCAATAAACGACAGCATTAAAATATATCTCATACAAGAGGCTTATACTTAACTAGAATTTAAAGGACAATGGTCCCAAGCACACTTTACAGATCTGGTTAGGAAAAAAAAAATCATTCATATTATTGTAATGATGTATTTCATTCTGATTTAGTGTAACGTTGTTCTGTAACGCGTACACAAAAGCTATACTTCAAATATGCATGTTTGAAAATTTCAAATATAATTATAAATTGTATATATATATGAACAATACGAAATGTTTATGGCAAACAATATATAGTGCATAAAAAGTACCACAAAAATAACTATAATATTAAATCACTACCTGGATAAAGAATTCAGAGTAAAACATTGCATAAAAAAATATTTAAAACTCCATCAAAACTCGCAATGCATACATGGCACAAAATTACAAAAAAAAAAGAGAATTAAAACATTGAATGGCAAAAATGTGTATGTTAAATGTGAATGAAGTATATGCTGCGAAAGCAGAGGCATACACAGAACCGCTTTGTGTCACTCTGTTTCAAGGGGTATAAGATAATCGCTATATTAATGAATCAAAATTAATTCAGAATACAGTCTTCAGGAAAATTCAAATAAATTAAGTCCTCACTGCCACTGGAGTTCACAAAGACGACAAATAGAAAGGAAAGGAAAGTCCCCATTTCATTAGAAGCAGAAGAACTAAATAATAATAATCTTTTGGAAAATGAATCAAATAAATATATGAATAAACCAAAATATTGACCAAAGTGACCTGGCTGGGTGGTCCGATCCAATTCAAATGGAAACAGCCATCTGCGGTCATGGTGGATGCCCGCGTGCCGCAACCTCTGTACCCACCGCCACAAACAGTCTCTTAGCATCTAGCACCCCTGCATCTCCTGAAAATAAGACTTTGAATAATTCAGTCATCTTTGAAAGATGTTTCTAGGACACAAAGGTATAAGCTTTAAGTGAATTTACAGGAGACACCCCCCCGCAGCTGCGAGCTGACGGACCCGGAGGGCCGTGCGTGCTGTCACCTCCGGCGCGGCGGAAGCGAGGCTGCTCACTGGATTCCCAGCAGCACGTTATATGTGATTACTGCACTGGACGGTAATGCAAGAGTGCCCCCTACTGCCTTCCTCAGAGGAGCTGAGCTCCACTCCTATGACAGAAAGCTGTGGTTCCAAACAGAGAGGCCTGTTGCCAGTTAGGTGGGTAAACCCTGGTGAAACAAAGGGCACGTGCACAGGCTGCTTTAGCACAATGCCACCACAAATGTTGGGGACTCTGCATGCAGTGGAGACTTAACACATAATGTAGCACAGATGTTTTTATTACAGGGTCAGTGCATTTTCACGCGTGTGCTCGTAACAAACACACGCAGAATTCACAATCATTCACCACAATCCTCTTAAACCAAAGGAGATACCAACCTGTTACGCAATGTGGTATAGCATCATCAGAGCAGTCAAGCTAAAGAGCAGTGAGGAACCGAGAAACAAACAGTAGCACAAGACCTCCATGCAATCGTGGAAAGAAGAAACCTGCTGTAGACCACGGGATGCCCAGCCTTCAACAGAATTCCCACGGCAGTCCACCAATCTGCCCTCGTCTCCACTTCCTCCAGATATTTACTACATGCTGCAGCACTTGTCAATAATGACATAATAAACCGCCGCCTGTTTCCAAGGAGACCACAGTCCTGCTGGAAGTTCATACCTGAGGGTGCAGACTCCTCAGATCATTGATGAAAATATCAACATTTGTAGCATAACAGATTTCCTATTAAACTTCTAATATGGTTTTGTTCAGAATTCAGAACATGGAGCCAGTAATTTGTGGTCAGATTTTATTCACCAGAAGAACGCTGGCATTCCCATTCATGACAGACAATATCTCACCATGCTCTCCATCTCTCTCCAGGACTCCTCCAGCTCCTCCATGGGCTTGTTCCACCAGCTGCAGAACCTGGAGTAACGTCTGCCCTGGAACCAGTACTGGCGCAGCCACTCAAACTCGACCTGCAGAAACCCAACACATCCCATAAGACAAGCCAAAGGGAGGAGACTGGACGTAGCACGAGCAGTTGAGGTGCATTATGGGTCGAAAACATGTCCAGCACATGTATGATATTACATTTATTGGACGCATGGTCACTTATCTCATAAGACATAAGCATTTGTAAATCAATCAATCTATGAAAAGTACTGATGCAAAGCAGCAGAAAAGTTTCTGGGATTTGTCATCACGGACAAAAAGACATCAAAACTATTCCATTTTATTTTATTAATGACCATCACTGTAATCCTGAGAAACATTAATCTGGCTTTTATTTCAGATTTAAAAAGTGTGTGATAATAAATCCACCTTATAGTGTGACTGGTAGAATGGAACACTTTCAGGGAAGCTCCCCAAAGTGTGTGATTTCTAGTCCATCTCATAGTGTGAATGGTGGAACTGTACCTTTGCAGGGGAGTGTCTCCAAAGTGTGCGATCATCTCATGTGCTGGAGTGGAGTGACCGGGGCCGCTGCTATGGGTTCTTGCCCCAAAGAGTGTTCATAATTATCTCCAGTGTGCCAATGGTGGCTGTATGTATCCACCAGAGGCTTTCACACCGACACCCTGCTGCTCTGCCCCCCTGTGCCACCCCAGTCCTCCCTCAGCTGGATGCCCTGGCCTTTCTGTCTTTCGATGTCTTCACCCCGCAGCTTTTGAGGAGAATGGGAGTTTGGTGCTGGATAGCTTTGCCATTGTGGAGCCATTTTCGACGTGCCCCTTTGAAGTGCTGATTAAACCCTCCACAGGATACCTGGGGCTGGCAGGTCTGCGTGTTCATGTGCGGATGCCCCACATTCAGGAGATGGAAATGAAAGGCTCTAAATTAGGTGGAATGTTGTGGGTACCCTCCCCTAGAACCGCAGAGTTGGAAAACAGCCCTCAAATAACGAAATGCTGGCATATGAACAAAAGTGTAGCACAAAACCACAGTAATACAGACCTGCGACTTTAATGTGTGTTGCACTCAGCTGAGATCAAATCAAAATGTATTGATTCATAGTGTTTAACAATTACACCATGGCAAATTCTGCTCAACGTTTATACTCCATACGTTTAAATACTACACGGATCTCCTCTTTCTATTTGACGGACATGGCTTGATCACAGCAGACGACATTCACAGAAACACGGGTTTGGGTGCAGATTAGGCTAGCCACACACAAGGAACCTTTGAGAGAAATGTCAAGCTTTGTTGCAGTCCAGACCCGCTGCCTTTCTCTTCTGCCCTTCACAATGCGAGGGTACAAAGTCTAAATGTGTCCCTTGCAATGGTACCCCCCCCCCTTTTACAGAATGATTACAGTCTCTGGATTAGCATTTAGCCAACAGAGCTGGTACATCATGCCGTGTAGCATAAAAGCAAGGTCCACGTGTGGCCAGGTGTCGATCATCTGGTGTCAAGCCGTTCACCATGAATTATTTGAGAAGACCGGAGACTAAATGCCACCTGCCCAGATGGAAAAAATCTGTGTTATTGTTCTTTTGCTGGTGAGCTAGCCTGTGTCTGTCATCCCGCTGGGTGACATGCTAACTGCACATTAGCCCCTGCATTGACTGTGCACTCACCATGGTGACCCCGGAGTCAAACTGAACTAACCCCTTTCAATTTAATGAGGCAGGATTTCCACCCCCCCACAACCTCACAGTATTTCCTGACCCTGTTCAATCTATTTCCATGGAGGGCCCAGGGTGGAAGATGATGAAATCCCAATCAATACACCCCTCCTACCCGCTCTGCGGCCATAACCTACAAAGGCTTGGTGAGACCGGCACTCCCCCCCGCCCCCCCCAGCTGGCTCAGCATCACGCCCATCAATCATGGCGGCCTCATCGTACAGCTCTCGCTGTGCAGCACCAGCTGACCAAACAGCGCTGCGGAGATGGAGGTGGGGCTGGGCATCTTCACTCAAGGACCTCGGCCTGGAGCACATTCCTGGGACACGTGCTAATTGCGTCCTCGGCCCCACTGGGCCTTCAGAAAGGTCTGCTGATGTGCTGGAGAACCTCCACGAGGCCTCGGCTCAATAAAGCAGGACACCGAAGACTGGCTGCATGAGTAATTCTTGTTCTGCGTGTTGATATACTTACTCATTATGTAAGGAGTCAGGATACTCACAGGGTTTAATTTGCCCCTCTCCCAATGCATTATAAACACCCGTGTGCTTCTTGGAGCCATGCTGCTGTTATGAATCTACCAGAGAATGACAGTAAGGCTCTAAACAGGGTGAGTTAATTTGGGATTTGCCGTCTGCCCAACGCAATGGCTTCTGGGTGCCAATTGCAGCCCTCTGCACACACTCCACACAGACAGATCCGTAGGCGGTGTGTAGCTCTGCAGGTTAACAATTTGTGCTCAAGCCCATAAGGTTGCTGGGTGCCTGTGGGGCTGGTTGGTGGGGTCCTGTGGCCAGCTGAGTAATCATATTACTTTTTGGCTTGAGAAAGGCCCGTAACCAAAAAGACATCAAAACTATTCCAATTTATTTTATTAATGACCATCACTGTAATCCTGAGAAACATTAATCTGGCTTTTATTTCAGATTTAAAAAATGTGTGATAATAAATCCACCTTATAGTGTGACTGGTAGAATGGAACACTTTCAGGGAAGCTCCCCAAAGTGTGTGATTTCTAGTCCATCTCATAGTGTGAATGGTGGAACTGTACCTTTGCAGGGGAGTGTCTCCAAAGTGTGCGATCATCTCATGTGCTGGAGTGGAGCGACCGGGGCCGCTGCTATGGGTTCTTGCCCCAAAGAGTGTTCCTAATTATATGGTGGCTGTATGTATCCACCAGTGGCTTAAGTTAATTTGGGATTTGCAGTCTGCCCAACGCAATGGCTTCTGGGTGCCAATTGCAGCCCTCTGCACACACTCCACACAGACAGATTCGTAGGAGTGTAAATTGTGGGGCTGGTTGGTGGGGTCCTGTGACCAGCCGAGTAATCATATTACTTTTTGGCTTGAGAAAGGCCCGTAACCGCTCCCCCCCCCACCCCAAAAAAAAAAATGCCCCAGGGGCGCCAGAAGAATGGCTGACTCTGTGCTCTGACCCCAAGCTACGTGAAAAACTAAAATTTCCTATGGATTTATACAAATTCCAGATACAGTATCATTGAAGAAGAAAAAACTGGGCGTGCTCGTGTTCTGCCAACTTCATCTGTATCTGGTCAGATACCCTTTATACCAGACAATAAAACAGGATGAAAGAAATCCCATATAATCACAAACAGTGTATCAAATCCTTGTAATAGGTTCTAAAAATATGATAAATTACTCTAAATTATCAACATCCCTAAAAATCATGCAAATATCTGTACCATCCTTTATTTATATGCATATGTGTGTGTGTGTGTGTGTGTGTGTATAAAAAACACAAGTGCTGGTCCAGACTCTCCGGCTGTAAGCCACTTTGGCCAGACATGTCAGAGGCCAAGAAGGGCTGAAAAGGTCATAAATTGCCGAACTGCAATACATCACTGAGTATAATTTAGGTTTGCCTCTCCTGGGCAACATGAAACAAATAGCCCAATCGATCACTGTGCAACTAGGTAAGGCTGCTGCCCACCTGAAAGCGATTTCCCTCCAAAACAGAAAGTAAAATCCCCACCAACCACTGTCTGGAGCGGTAATCCACCTCACATCTCACTTCGTAACGAGCAGCAGTTGCCCAGTGTCAGTGATGGAGCTGTTCCCAGGCATCCGCTCCTTCGGCCTGGCTTCATAAATATCAGGCATGGCCTTTTCGGCCAATCGTCAACCACGTCATCCGTCATAATGGCAAGTAACTGGGGTGCTGAAATCTCACGGTGATTCCCTGTGTGTGAACACTGCTGGTTCCTTGGACTTTACACAAGCTCTTTAGCTGCCTTGCCATCAGTGGGGAAATACTACCACTGAGCAGTACCCTGGGATTCCCCATCAGGGGGCGCCTATTCATATATAACACTCCACCAATTTAACATGCCACCAATAGCGGTATCTTTAACATTCTCTAGGATGGGAGCAGTCTATGACACGGAGCGAGCAGGCTAGTGCCGTAGCCCAAAGCTCTACCTCGTTGTGAATCTCCTCAGAGAGCTGCAGAGCAGAAGGCGACAGGGAGTGCAGATTTCTGGCACCAGTGTCTGGGTTTGTGGACATGTTCTCCAAGGCCTCCTCGCAGCGGCGCCGTATGTACTCCAGTGTTCCTGAGGAGCACTGTGAAAACACAGCAGGGCGTCCTAAGCACCGCGACATGATCGGAGCCCCAAAGTGGCGCTCTCGTTTCGACAGGAAGCGCTCTGAGGGCTCGTCCTTGCCAACTTCACATCTGTAAGAGGTCGCGGACCAGCCAAGCTGTACTTCCGCTGCCTTCAGACGTTGGGACACCAGCCCGCCCTGCCCCCAAGCCCCCAGGCCCCCGGCACACCTCGGCCACTCTGTGCGTCGAGCTGAAGCGAGCAGCCTCCCCGGCCAAGACGCAGTGCTGGTGGGTCCGGTTCAGGTCATCTAAAGACAGAGCAGAAGATGCAGGGTGGTGATCTTCACCCACACAGCCATAAACATACCAAACCTTTCATCCTTCATTCAGAAAAGCCTGTAGGAAAACAACACTGGATACTGAAAGTTACCACTATTTTGTTTGGCATTCTTTAAAGAATAAATATTAAAATGAATGAATGATATGAAAACTATGTGAACACAGATGTGCAGATTTAATGGTTTCCTTTTCAGACTAATGAGTAACTTAGAGTTTCTCAAGAATGACATTATGAAATGTAAGCAGTAAATATATATTTTAGTACAGTCTTTGCCTCTACTTGTCCTTCTGATGGAATCAGAGTGGAGAAGGCTTTTAAAAGTATTGGGTACAGGTCCTTCTAATTGTCCTGGGTGTGTTTGCCCTGTAAATCTTATTATTTACTCAGCCTGCTGCCAGACCTGCATTATCTTTCTTATGATTGAAATTCTGTTTGCCACTAATATGATGATTGAATTTGCAGGTAAGTGCTTTAGCAAAAGGAGCTCGAGGGTGTGACACTGACAACCTGTGTAGAACAGAACAAAGGGAATGGGGGGGGGGGTTCTGTTAATGTGGACAAGCCGTACTAACAGTACTCAGGGCCTCACATAACCTAGCAATGTTCCTGTAAACATCTGGAAGTCCGAAAAACAACAATCAGTAACGCCATGGAAACACGCCAGGACATAGCTTGACAAAGTGGTTAACAATGTTGAAAACTGATTGTCCAGTACGCTTTTGCTCTCTGAACAGTTACCCATGAAAGAATGCAGGCTTTTTAATAAGGTCGGGGTCAATATAATTTTTCAATTTCCTCATGATTCACCTCATTTGATAAATTCAATTCGCATCAATTTACTCTGATCAATTCCCATTTCATAAAAAAAAAAACAAGATTCACTTTCAACGCCGGAAATGAGATTGACAACCCTGCCACATAAATCGATTCTGGCGAGTTCAGATTGACCTCTGAGTCAAGTTTCCGAATGCATTCGAAAGTGAGGCAAAGCTGTTTCGCCTAAAGAAAAGAAAAAATGGAGAGGGTCCATCACAGAAAGATGGTGAAAGGTTTCCGAATTAGACCCAGCTGCTCACAGCCATGTATTTGGAGGGAGAGGAATTATAAACGCAAACCTGACTAGGAACTTCGGAAGAGCGATGATCTCTTACACGTGCAATCAAACAAAAACTATGGGAGACCCAGAATGACCTGTGGAGATCTCAAGCTGAGATAAGCAGAGGCCTGCTCCAGCAGACTGCAAGTCGACTGCTATAGGTTGCATTAAGACGGCCCGGCAAGGAGGCCTGCCACTCGGAGCCCAGCTAGGAGGTCTGCCACACAAAGCCTGGCAAGGAGGCCCACCACGCTGAGCCTGGCGAGGAGGCCCGCCACGCAGAGGTGGACGTACTGTCGCGCCGAGGCATCTGCTGAGCCCATCAGCGTAAAGGCCTGATTTATGTCCCATGTCATAGGAGCACCGCTGGGGCGGCCGGCCTCATATTTCCTTCTAGACGTGATCAAGATGAGGTCACAGCACTTCATAAAATAACATTTGGGTTTTCTAACCTTTCTAATGTGGGCAGTTTCATGGGACCCCTGACTACGTATAAAGGCAAACTCAAGTTCTGGGATTTGGTCGCCGTTTTCCAGCTCAGTATTACACACATAGATGAAAGTGGCTTTTCAGGAATGAATTAAGTGCGATACTTATGCTCTTCTTTTGGGAGTAAGTCATTTCTGTCTGAGTATCTGACACTAAGGCAACAAACTTCTTTATTTTATCAGGGTTCGAGGCCGTAGGGATTTTCTGGACAAACTTCAGACAAGCATGTGTGGGATTCCTCCGTTTATATGGTGTCAGCATGGGAATTGTTCTAATATGACTATCCTAAAAAAAAGGCTTTTTAACATCATTACACACTTATCAGCATCTATAAAACGCATTTTTCTCATTAAAACATATGTCGTGCCTTTTGAAAGGCATATGGAGTACGTTTTTGTACATTTTTGAGCAGCGGCGTTCTGAATCCAGATGCCAGTGTGTGTGTGCTTGGCGGCAGCCATGGCGGATCGGTACCTCGCAGGTAGTAGCAGTCCCCAGTCTGCAGGGGAACCGCCAGGCCCGGGGTGTTGATGTCCCAGGCCACCTTCAGTCCCAGACGCCAGGGGGCCCGGCCCGCGTCTTCAGAGCTGCCACCTGTACACAGCGCCAACGTCAGGGCACATTCAGCTAATGTCAGCATCTGGCATTTAATGCCACGCAACACATTAACACAATGCCAGTGGTGCAAAATGTCTAATATCAATCATCTATTAGATAAACAAAATTTACAATAAAGGCAGCTCTCAACTCATGTAAAACCAACTTATTCAAATCCGGAAAAAAAAAATGGTTTACTGAAGCGCTAATGCAAATGCTATACATTGTAAATATATTTACACTTTATCTCGTCATTTATATAATACCTATTTAGTATTACTAATATATTTTTGCCTTATTTGTTTTTTGCTATAGAGCAATGGTAGGCAACCCTTATCCTGGAGTGATGGCATCCAGTGGGTTTTCTATCCTATTGGATGAGTTACTACCTGCCTGAGATCAGATGTGGGTCATCAGCAGAGGTGGTGATTTCAGGTCCAGACCAAGATTTTGTTTTAACCAACCAGTTGAGTACTCTGTGACTATGACTCAACTAGTTGAAACAAAATCTTGGTCTGGATTTGTACTCTCTGGACCTGAAATCTCCACCTCTGGTCATCAGAGACCTGGTAGGATGGACAACCTGCTGGATAATGGCACTCCAGGAATCAGGGTTGCCTACCACTGTTATAAGGTGTCTTAAATGACATGGGGGAGGTAAATCCAACCAAAATAAAATTTCACTTACATAAAGGTTTGTGGAACAAATTCCTTCCATGAGTCAAGATCTGCCTGGATGTTCTATCTTTAATGGTATGAACGTAAACTGAAACAAAACCTTTGGCTTTGGAGTCACTCATTAGTTAGAATAAATCAAGGTTTGTTAGCTATGCTGAGCAGCAGTAGTGTGTGAACGGATGGAAATGGACATGGAGAATCGGCAGAGTAATTAAGGGCCCACCATTCCACGACACCGTTTCACAAGCAGGGTCATAGCACCTCCTCCCGGCTCCGCCACCAAATGCTAAGCAAATGCGAAAACAAGATCTGCTCGACGCTCTTCACAAAAATCAATACTAAACTCCTTCCACGGCTCCCTGGCTCTCCCGTCATCCTTTTCCTCCCGCTTCCCAGATAAATTGTAAGAAAATGCTTTCCGAAAGCTGCAAATGACATTGCTCTCAAACATTCCAGTGTAATAGAGTATAAAAACCCCAGGTAGACTCTGAGAGAGAGAGAGAGAGAGAGAGAGGGAGAGAGAGAGCTACCTTTAGAATTTTATTAACTGTCATATATCATTTTTTAAAAGAAAACTTTGCCACCCCGAGATCCAATTCCAGTTCTAACTAGGCGACTGACAGATGTGAGCTCCGCTAATTCACGCTGCTGCAACACCTCATTCTCCTTTTTTTCCCCTTTTCTCTCCAAAAAACAAACATCGGTCCAGCACCTCCCAGGTACCCGACAGGTCACCAAAGCCACTTTTTAAGCAGTCAGCTGAAATACTCCAGCTGATTTGACCCCTACAACCTTCCAGGAGTGAGACAGGATTAGCCCTAACCCCTGTTGTTTCTGATTAGGACATGAAACAACTATGCTAAACGGCAGTGAAATAAAATTGGTAAATAACACAAAAAAACAAATTCAAAATTAAAACTGACAAAAACAAGTTAGATTAAATGACAGGGGCCATATTTATATTGCAAAGGCTAAAGAGAAGGCCACAGTGTACTTGAAGCAGGCCGTTCCCCACATAACAGTTCAAAATATGTCAGAAAATTGTCTTGACCTTGTCCAGCAGATTTTATTCTGAACTGCTGTTCTTTCAAAAATGTGTGAAATGTCACAGACAGCAGGACTTAGATTGTGATGTTTTCACCAAAGATTATAAAAGCAGTCGGGCAGTAAATTAAATTTACTTCCTACAGTAATTTTTTTACTTGGTAACCAATATTTGAAAATTGTTTTTTTTTTTTTTTTTTTAATACAATATACTTTTTACTGACTCAAAAGAATAAAAGTATTCCTTAAGTGCCTTGAAAACGAAACTACCACCAAAGCCTGTAAGAGGCAATATCCAGAACCCAGCTAGGAAAGCTGTGAAAAACCTGCACATTTTATTTACTTCAAACACAGAACAGCTGCGTGCAAAGCTATGCTAATCTGCCGCAGCGGGCTGAGCCCTCCCCCACCCCCTTACCCTCAACTTTGTCATCCTGGCAGCTGTAGTTATACACGGCGACCGAGGAAAACGACACCAGGTTCTCGTCGTGGTGCCAGCCCACCGCCATCTTGCCCATGCCATAGTAGGGCTCTTCCTTCAGCTGGTCCATGGTGGTCGGGTCCATGTAGTTCAGCAGGGTTACATTAAACTGGGCCGTGACGGGGGAGCCCTTGGAGCACTGTGCCTGGGGAGACCCCCCGCCAGCCTCGGCCTCTTTGGGTCCCTGCTCATGGTCGCTAGCCTCCTCTATGCGGTACACGTCTTTGCAGAAGAAGTGGTTCAGCTCCCAGAGTGCCTTGCAGGCTGCCCTCAGCTCCTGGTCGCAGCAGGCCTTGTCCTTGTTCTCCACTTCCTCCAGAGCCTCACCCTGTGACTTGTCTTCCTGCTCCCCTTCCTTCCGCTCCTCCACCTCCTCGCTGTGCCAGGGGATGGTGAAGAGGCGGGTGTTCAGGTAGCGGTAGGTATAGCCCGGCAGGCCCAGGAGAGCGCGGGAGACTGAGGTGAAGACGTCACGGCCTCGCACCCGCACAAGGTCACGCAGCAGGCAGCCGCGGCCACGCAAGGAGCAGAGGGCGGCCTGCACGCGGCCGTGCAGGTCAGGGGGCAGGCCGTCAGCCCGTCGTAGGACCAGGCCGGGGTAACTGGACTCCCACTGCGCCAACACAGAGTACGCAGTCAGGGTGGAGCTCGCTGGCAAGCCAAATCCATACCGAGCTACTACTAAGAATGATTCATTACTAACCATTTATATATACTATACAGTATACAACAGACATACACACTATATGGCCAAAAGTATGTGGACACCCCTGTTAGTCAGAGGGAATTGGCTAATTAAGCAACACCAATTGTCATTAAGCACACAGTCACTTAATCTCCTGCAACAAACATTAGCAGCAGAATGGGTGGTTGTACAGGAGAGGTTAGTGACTTTCCACTTGGCACCACCATAGGACTATAGCCTGCTAGGGCTGCCCTGGTCAGCTGCAGGTGAAGTGATTGTGAAGGTCAATACATCTAGGATCAAGTTCAGTTCTGAAGTGGTCGGCCACACAGAAAGGAACCTGATCAACAATACATCAATACTCAACCTGAATGGCAGTGAATCCCACCAACACCACCTAATGGAAAGCCTTCCTTGAAAGGTGGAGGTTATTATAGTAACAATGGGCTGATTAACTTCATATTAATACCCTTGGTTTCCGAATGAGATGTTGGACAAGCTGGTGTCCACATACTTTTGGACATAAAGTGTATTTCCCACTCAGGTTCTTTAATCACAGATCGAGCCAGTGTCACAACTAAGCAAACACCGTAAAACAGGAGCGAGATGCCATGTTTATTTCCCAGCATCCTCTGCCTGATCGGTGCAGGCCTGCGGCATAGAGCGGGTCCACTCACCAGCTGCTGAAAGCCCGAGTCTGCAGGTGAGAGGAAGGGGATTCGCTGCCCGCCCAGCTCCTGCAGAAGCTTCTGTCTCTAGAGACGGGGAACACATAGCCGATGATAGCTGTGCTGAGATGCTAGTGGCAACAACACAATAACACTGAAAGGTACATTTAAACAATTTTTATACAAATACACATTTAGTGCCTTCCGGAGTGTTAGGACCATTCCAACAATGTCCAGTTAGTTCCAAATATAAGAAACGCAGTTTACTTACTGCTTCAAATTAGTACTGGATTGTAAAATAGTGCTGAAATCTGATGTGCCATTTCCAGGAGGCCAGACAGAGAAATGCAAGTCCACTGACAAGTTTGTTCCAATTTATCTGCACTCAGAAATACACGTGCCATATGGCGTGCTTGTATCGACGCACCTCGCCTGTATGTCGGTTCGGACAAAAGCATCTGCTAAATAAATAAATGCAAATGTATCACCTTTCGGCCAAAGCTTGTGTTGATAAAATTTACACCGTGGCAGTCGATTTTTCAATGAAGGAAAACCTGCGGCAATATTGCATTATTTGCCCAGAAATGTAAATAAATGTGTCCTGCGATGGGCTGGCCCCCTGTCCAGGGTTGTTCCCTGCCTCGTGCCCGTTGCTTCCGGGATAGGCTCCGGAGCCCCCGCGACCCGGTAGGATGAGCGAGTTGGAAGATGGATGGATGGATGTAAATAAATGCCTATAATTACCGTAATTATGTCACAGTCATAATCCATTTTAAATGTGTACATCTTGAGTATGCTGCGGGTCCTGTTACGGTGCCCGCTAAGTTGATAGGATCGAGTACAGTACGCTCCCTGCGTTACGATATTTCGACTTTACGATGGGTATGATTAATCAATGAATTACATGGGATATTCGACCCTTTACTATAAAATGTTATGTAAATGATTTTGCACAACCGTAGGCTAATGTAAGTGTTGTAAGCATGTATAAGGTAGGCTAGGCTAAGCTATGATTTAGGTTTGTTTGTTAGGTTAGGTGTGCTGTATTAAAATGCATTTTTTACCTTAAGACAGCTTTATTAGGACGTAACCCCATCGGAACCTGGGGAGTGTCTGTAATTTTTAGTGCTCCGGCCAGGCTGCTACACCATGCTTTATGTATTAAATGCTGGCTGCCGCTTGAAAGCGCATTTTTTAGGATGTGTTACATTCCGACATGCAAACGCGTTAAGATGAAACTCAGCTTTCCTCATGCATTCTGCGCGCGTACCAGTTACAGTCCCATTCAAAGCCGTGCTGCGTCAACCCTCAATCTTCCTGACCCTTTTATATCGGCAGGATAAAATGCTATCATTTTCATATCAAAGAAAATATTATGATTATGTTTAGAGGACGCACGCATCATATATAACCTCAGACATTTACTGCGAACATCTCACATTTCTGCTAAGCTCGTAACGTTTCAGGAATGTGGAATCGCGGTGCCAAAAGTATGGCCCGGCTTTTAAAAGGAAATAAAACGTGCTGTTAATCACATTAAACTGCAAACACGTAAAGCCTGCGTCCGCATCTGAAGGCATAAGGGGTGCATTTTACAGACGGGGGGGAAAGTGCGCGATCACGCCCTGCTGCCTTTCACATCAGCGTCGACATCAAACGAGCGCCTGTTTCCCCAAATAAAAGCCCATACCTCCCAAAAAGGAACCCAAAATATACTCTGAATTAACCCCTTTTTTCACTACCATTACTCTACCTGCACCATACCAATATTCCATTTTCACTTTGGCTAATATAGCCGTCAGTTATAGTTACACAAACCGTTGAGAACAGAAGCATATATAAAAGTGTTGGACATGCGAGTATCGTATCTTATAAAATGAAAGCGTGGATCAAGGAAGGAAAACAAACGGGGAGATATATTCATCGGTGCCGTTTGAAGATAAAAAGTGTGCGCATAAGGCTGACGATCTATGGCACCGAGAAGGATGGCGGTCGTGAGCCGTGGCGGACCGCGGGCGCGCCCAGTCTGCAGCACAGCTGGGGCAGCCAGCGCGGCCCGGTGCCCCCGCGCGCACACCGCAGAGCTGCCACGCACATGTCAAATGCCGCCAGCAGCGCGCAAACTCTGCTAAAAAGGTAAAAGGCAGCGCACCCCCCGATCAGCGACAGATGGGCTCTTTAGGGACAGCGGAACAGTAAGCCTTTGAAAAAAGAACAATGATGCAAAAAGAGCTCGGGCTTATAATCCCCAAACTACTGAAACTAAAAAAAAAAAACAGCCAATATCCACCGGCTCTCTATGCGCAGGATCATAGGTACGAGCCATGAAATAGTACATATAAATGTTTTCCCAAAACTACTTTATAATGCTACTTGACAAACCTTTTTATTTGCATTGACCAGTGGGCAAATATATTTAATCTTTTTCCGTAAAGGCCTGACTATCAGTATGAAAATTAATTTAAAAGAGGTCTGATAGCCTCTGTTGTGGAAGTCAGTGTCTGGCCTTAAACTAGTAAGAAATTAAAGCTTTTTTATGCCTCAGGACCAGGGTCAGCCTGACGAAGTGCTGTGCAGGGGTTCAGGGGGCACGTAAGGTGGACGAGGCACCGACTGGGTACCAGACTGCTGGATGTGCCCCCGGAACACTTTCAGGGGCCAGGAGCCTAGCAGCCAGACCCAGGCGTCCAGCGAGTGGCTCTGGGAACTCCGCAGCACGCACTCAGATGGCCAGATTTACCGCCCCCGTGGCGGATAAATGACAGAGCCCCCTGTTTATACAGCAAACTGTTCATAGTGGTGTGAGAGCAGTCTCAGAACCGGCCTGCTCACATGACCCTGAAACCGAGTCAAACATTTTGACAAGTAGCCTGTGAAACATCAGATGGCCTCAGGACAAGCAGTCGGGCCATCAGAACCGCTTCCGTGGTGCCCTGTTTGGCTCATAGTCGCCACATTTAGCCGATGGGTGTCAAGGGGCCCTGGGAATGCCTACTTAGCTGACAGAGGTGTGGGGGTGGGGGGCTGGCAGGCACTCGCACCTGAGCAAACAGCTCAGCACAACGTTCTGGGGCTCCATCATGCACAGAGCATGACTCCCGGGAGCTAACGGCACCATGAGACCAAACAGCACGTATGTGCCATGGCCGATCCCTTCAGCCTCTTCAAACGGAACGGCTGGGGAAGCAGGGAGCTACCAGAATACCGTATTGTCCCTAAAATATGACATCATGAATCACTGTGGCCTCATTCTCTTCCAACCTGATTTCTAATTACTATACCCTGCTGCTGTACCTCAAAAAGTAGTGCATGATGTAACAATGCAAAGGTCATGGGTTTCAAACCCAGTGTTGACAGATAAATGACAACCCTTCCCTCTGCTACGAGTTGCTTAGGACAAAAGTGATAGATATATTTTTTTAACCTAACACACTTTCTGTATGAGTGTTACAGGTTCTTAACAGAAGCCTCATTAACAAATTGCCGTTAATAGCACAGACTCTGAGCTGGTGTCGGCAATGCCTAATCCCACATCTGGTGCATATCTAGACTCTCAGCAAGGTTCCGTAATTCAGCATGTGGGAATTAATATCCACGCACAAACTCACCCGTCTGTACCTCGGCACGTTTTAACTCAACTACTGAACGCATTAAAAAAGGAACAGAAATCCTCAGCTACTTGTGAGTGACTATTAACCAGCCTGTGATACAGCAAGCATTAATATTAAACCGGCTTTTTATTACTAAGTGCCAGGCCAGGCAGAGCTTGGCTTTCCCGCGACAAGCTAAAAGCACGGTCAGACCGGTCCATAAATCAGCAGTGTCCCTCTGGCCTCCATGCGCTCCCACACACAGGCACGCACACAGCGGGCCCGGTGCTCATCAGCCGCTAACGAGTTCCCTTCAGTTAAACACAACCGGGGCCGAATGTGAAAAATGGCCGCCTGCCTGCGGTCTCTCCGGAAGGCGAACCGCGGCGAGTTAAAGGTCCGCTAATTGTTGTTGCAGTCTAGAAGGAAACATTGTTCATATCACTTAGTGGCAGGTTAGGAGAGGCTGGCATCATTCATACGACTGTCTATCCATCCATCTCTCCATGCAGTGTGGCCTATATTTTACAGTGGGCTCTATACCGCGTCTGTGGTCAGGGTCCCTTCAGGGAAATTCTGATATGTGCCATGTTACCGGAGCTGCTACACAAAAATGATAAGTCATTATTTACTTCAACAATGATCCATAAACCCACAGCAGTCTGCTCCCCACCTCGCTCATTAATCCGGTCTATGTGCGTTGTGTGTGTCTATGTACTGCAAATAAAAACGTTTCCCCAATCAGCGGTAACCGCACGGGGATAAAACCGCGGAGAGTAAAACGGTACTGACAGGTTAACTATGACAAGACCGGTGGAAGTGTAGCTCAGTGTCTTCAGGCGTTTTTTTTTTTTATATATTCATGGTGCTGTCAGGAAGCAGGCAGTCCTTCAGCCGCCCCGAACCGGGGCTTCAATTTAAATGGCATGTGAAATGTGAAGCGCGAGCCACTGGGACGCAGACTCTCGGCACCCGGTGAATCTGCCTGATTTGTGGTGAGGGGAGCATTGATTAAGACGGAAGTGATTAGAACAGGCGACGGCATGTTCTACAGCAAAGCAACTGCCCCGAGGTGTAGTCAGGGAGATGTCAGAGCTATATAAAGCCCTCACCAGCAAGAAAGAGAGGGAGGGAGAGAGAGAAGGAGACAGAATGGGGGGGGGGGCAGGGATGAAAAAAGCAGGCCTTCAGTCCAGTCTGACTCAATACCCTCCTCCTAAATGCGGAGCTGGGGGGGAAGCGGTGTCCTCAGAGCCGATTCCCCCAGGGCACCTGCCCAGGCCCCACCTCCGGAACCTCAGCAGCCTATTTCAGCTTTGTTTGCTGCTTCAGATACTGTTTCAGCGATGTGTGGGGGCATCTGTTCCCCTCCACCTCTCTGAGCACCAAACAATGGGGTAAAAAAGCAGCCTCCTGCTCTGTTTGCTGTTTCGCTCCCATTTGCCATTTTCCACTCTGGCATTTATAAGTGCTTAATTCTGACAGTCCTCTTATTTC